GAGAAGTGTGAAGTGTGAAGTTTGGAGTGTGAAGTTTGGAGTGGGAAGGAAGCAGTGAGAAGTGAGAAGTGTGAAGTGTGGACTGTGAAGTGTGGAGTGTGAAGTGCGAAGTGAGAAGTGTGAAGTTTGGAGTGTGAAGGAAGCAGTGAGAAGTGAGAAGTGTGAAGTGATAAGTGTGAAGTGTGGACTGTGAAGTGTGGAGTGCGAAGAGCGCAGCGTGAAGTGTGAAGTGTGAAGTGTGAGGTTTGGAGTGTGAAGGAAGCAGTGAGAAGTGTGAAGTGTGGACTGTGAAGTGTGAAGTGTGAGTGAAGTGTGGAGTGCGAAGTGCGAAGTGAGAAGTGTGGAGTGTGAGGTGTGGAGTGTGAAGTTTGGAGTGGGAAGGAAGCATGAGAAGGTGAGAAGTGTGAAGTGTGGCCTGTGAAGTGTGGAGTGGTGAGTGCGAATTGAGAAGTGTTGAAGTTTGGAGTGTGAGGAAGCAGTGATACAGTGAGAATTGTTAAGTTGAGAATGTGAAGTTTGGACTGTTGAAGTGTGGAGTGCGAAGAGCGCAGCGTGAAGTGTGAAGTGTGAGTGTGAAGTTTGGAGTGTGAAGGAAGCAGTGAGAAGTGAGAAGTGTGAAGTGTGAAGTGTGGACTGTGAAGTGTGGAGTGTGAAGTGCGAAGTGAGAAGTGTGAAGTTTGGAGTGTGAAGGAAGCAGTGAGAAGTGAGAAGTGTGAAGTGAGAAGTGTGAAGTGTGGACTGTGAAGTGTGGAGTGCGATGAGCGCAGCGTGAAGTGTGAAGTGTGAAGTGTGAGGTTTGGAGTGTGAAGGAAGCAGTGAGAAGTGTGAAGTGTGGACTGTGAAGTGTGAAGTGTGAGTGAAGTGTGGAGTGTGAAGTGCGAAGTGAGAAGTTGGAAGTGTGAAGTTTGGAGTGTGAAGTTTGGAGTGGGAAGGAAGCAGTGAGAAGTGAGAAGTGTGAAGTGTGGACTGTGAAGTGTGGAGTGTGAAGTGCGAAGTGAGAAGTGTGAAGTTTGGAGGGTGAAGGAAGCAGTGAGAAGTGAGAAGTGTGAAGTGAGAAGTGTGAAGTGTGGACTGTGAAGTGTGGAGTGCGAAGAGCGCAGCGTGAAGTGTGAAGTGTGAAGTGTGATGTTTGGAGTGTGAAGGAAGCAGTGCGAAGTGTGAAGTGTGGACTGTGAAGTGTGAAGTCTGAGTGAAGTGTGGAGTGTGAAGTGCGAAGTGAGAAGTGTGAAGTGTGAAGTTTGGAGTGTGAAGTTGAGTGGGAAGCAGTGAGAAGTGAGAAGTGTGAAGTGTGGACTGTGAAGCGGGAAGTGTGGTGTGGAGTGTGAAGTGCGAAGTGTGAAGTTTGGAGTGTGAAGTTTGGAGTTGAAGGAAGCAGTGAGAAGTGAGAAGTGTGAAGTGTGGACTGTGAAGCGGGAGTGTGAAGTGTGAGTGTGAAGTGCGAAGTGTGAATTGTGAAGTTTGGAGTGTGAAGGAAGCAGTGAGAAGTGTGAAGTGTGGACTGTGAAGTGTGAGAGTGTGAAGTGCGAAGTGAGAAGTGTGAAGTGTGAAGTTTGGAGTGTGAAGAAGCAGTGAGAAGTGAGAAGTGTGAATGTGAGAGTGTGAAGTGTGGAGTGTGAAGTGCGAAGTGAGAAGTGTGAAGTTAGGAGTGTGAAGGAAGCAGTGAGAAGTGAGAAGTGTGAAGTGCGAAGTGAGAAGTGTGAAGTGTGAAGTTTGGAGTGTGAAGGAAGCAGTGAGAAGTGAGAAGTGTGAAATGTGGAGTGTGAAGTGTGAAATGCGAAGTGAGAAGTGTGGACTGTGAAGTGTGAAGTGTGAAGTGCGGACTGTGAAGTACGAAGTGTGAAGTGTGGACTGTGAAGTGTGAAGTGTGAAGTGTGGACTGTGAAGTGTGAAGTGTGAAGTGTGGACTGTGAAGTGTGAAGTGTGCAGTGTGAAGTGTGAAGTGGGAGGTTTGGAGTGTGAAGGAAGCAGTGAGAAGTGAGAAGTGTGGAGTGTGAAGTGTGGAGTGTGAAGTTTGAAGTTTGGAGTGCGAAGAGTGCAGTGTGCAGTGTGCAGTGTGAGGTGTGGAGTGTCGAGGGAAGGACACGGTCGGGACAGGGTGTCTTTGAACTATAGGTCATTTATGTTTGGGAAACTTCTGCCGCCGGCTTGCCCGGGTCTATGTTATATTATAGAGTATTATAGAGTATTTTAGTATATTATAGTATATTATAGTATATTATAGTATATTATAGTATATTATATATTATATATTATATATTATATATTATATATTATATATTATATATTATATTATATTATACTAGTAGTACCGCACAAGGCGGTGGCGGAAGTTTCAGAATAGGAAACCTATAGGAGACGTTGGTTGTTGTGAATCACGGATGGCAGAGCGAATCCACTGATTGACCGAAAGGTGGTTGGAGTTGTGTTTGCTGGAGTGGTTGCAATGGTTGCAGTGGTCACCTCACCCACAACTGCTGGATGTAATTAGTGTGATGTACTGCAACTGTAGTTGTAGTTGTAGCGTAGTGGAGTTGTAGTTGTGGTGTAATGTAATTAGTGTAGTGTAGTTGCAGTCATATAGTTGTAGCTGTAGTTGTTTTGTAGTTGTAGTTGTTGTGTAGTTGTAGTTGTAGTTGTAGTTGTTGTAGTTGTAGTTGTAGTTGTTGTAGTTGTAGTTGTAGTTGTTGTAGTTGTTGTTGTAGTTGTAGCTGTAGTTGCTGTGTAGTTGTAGTTGTTGTGTAGTGTAGTTGTAGTTGTAGTTGTAGTAGTAGTTGTAGTAGTAGTAGTAGTAGTTGTTGTTGTTGTAGTTGTAGTTGTAGTTGTTGTTGTTGTAGCTGTAGTTGTTGTAGTTGTAGTTCTAGTTGTAGTTGTTGTGTAGTTGTACTTGTAGTTGTAGTTGTAGTTGTAGTTTTTGTTGTTGTAGTATGTTGTTGTTGTTGTTGTTGCTGTTGCTGTTGCTGTTGCTGTTGTCGTCGAAGTTAGGGTAGTTAAGTTAGTGAAGTTAGTTAGGTTAGTCAAGTTAGTTAAGTTAATCAGTGTCTACTTTCGACATCTTAACGTCAAAAAAGGCACAAAACCCTCAGTTTTTTACACTTTTGACTTCGAAATGTGCTTCGCGCCACAACGGCGTGCACTTTTTCGACATCTGAACTTCCAAAAGTGGTCCGACGCTGGTGTGCTTTGTACATTTTGACTTCCAAATTTGCTTCGCGCCACAACGGCGTGCACTTTTTCATCTCTCATCTGGCCAGCTGCCTCCGCACCCGCCGCTTTAGCGAGCCTACTTTTCGACCCTCCGGAGCCCCAAATCATTGGAAAAACACAGTGTTTCGCGACTTTCCTACCTTTTCGCGCATCTGCATCTTCTTTCTTCTTACTCTTTCTCTTCTGATCTTCTCTCTTCTAATCTTCCTCTTCTCTCTGCCTCTGCCCTGCTCTGCTTTTCATCTGTCCATATTGTCGGAAGTTTGACTTCTAAACTTTCTTCGATTATATTATATACTTGATTTGTGTCTATTTGCTGTGTCTTTGGGACGTGTATGGCAAAAGAGGCTTAATGCTCATTGCACTGATAATCTCAAATTTGTCAAAGTGTCGAGGCCATGGCTGCTTCCAGTGATAGCAATGCATTTGGCCGCAAGACGGCTACAGCGTGCCTGGCGCGAGAGTTGGTTGAAGCAGACAAAGCCATCTGCTATCATTGAAGAAGGTGCCAAATGTTGCGGTTTTCATTTTGTTTTAAACATTTTGGGATCATTCGCGAAGCTTTTCTGCAATGCTGCCTTTCCCGAACCGGCAGCGAAGCAACTGTACTCTGTACACTCTAGACTTCACACTCCACACTGCGCATTACACCCCCCCCCTCACAACTTCGCCCTCTACATATCTACGCTCCACACTCCTCGCTGTACACTCTACATTCCACTCCGTACACTCCCCACTCTACACTCCATACTTTACACTCCACACTACACTACACTCAATGTTGTACACTCCACTCCACACTCACACTTTACACTCCACACTGTAAACTCAAAACTCTACATTCCACACTCTAGACTCCACGCTCCCACGCTCCCACTCCCCACTTCCAGCCCCACACACTACACTCCATACTCTGCACTCCACGCTCTACAGTTTGCACTCCACATTCTACAGTTTACACTTCGCGCTCTACACGCCTCCACTGTTTGCACTCCGCACTCTACGTTTTACACTCCACGCTCCAGGCTCAACACTCCCATGTAATTACTCTACACTCTACTGTCCACACTCTACACTCCACATTCCACGGTCTATACTCGACACTTTGTAATTACTCCACACTTTACATTCTGCACTCCTCACCCCACAGTCTACAATTGTATTGTAACCGGTAAAAAACAGGACTTTTGACTGGTGTAATAAATCATTACGCAAATTTAACGCGTGATGTGCGTGCGTTCAGGTTTTCTATCAGGTTTGTCTTGCGGACACAAAACATGAACATGTATTTGGCCATAGTATGTCATTGTAACCATAATATGTGCCATGGTCAAACTTGGTTTGTATACACATATTGAGGGAAGGTCATCAATAATCAATTACACACTCATTTCATTTGGATTCCCAATATAGGATGGATGACCACAAACCCTACATGATTTTTTGACTTTATCACATATAGTAGCCATATAATAGCCATATAAGAACCATATGGTAGCCATATAGCAGCGATAGTATTCGTTTGCAAAACATCCATGGTCAGAAGATCACAGTTTTTTTTGTGGTTTTGAAGGGGTGTCTCATCGATGACTCCGCTTCCAAGAGTCTTTGTTCAGGTAAGGCACCTGCAACACCACCAGTGACTCCTGCACCACGGAAGAACCTCGCTCAAGCAGCTCTGCGTCGTCGCCACATTGAACACCTGAGGCTGAATGTTGATCAATGGTTTCTGCAGAGTTTGAGAGTTCGGAATAATTTTTGTCGATGACGTGCTTGAACTTAGTAACTTTCACTCCTTTTGGAGAAGCGCTCTTATTCATACCATGACTCAGTCCTTTCTCAGTCCTTTCTCAGTTTCCTTAGTCGCCTTAGTCGGGAGTCGGGAGCTTTCTGCCAAATTCTGCAGATCGCTCCAGGCGCCGCATGATCCTGCCTCGTGATTGCGCTACGGAGCCGCTGAGTTTGGGCGGTTTGGGCTGTTCCTAGAAGCCGCCTCTGTCCTCTCGGCAACTCTAAAGGGGGTGGCCATTGGGTTCTGTATAGGTTTTGTATAGTGGGATGGTGCATTGGTGCATGGCATGGCGGCATACCCTCATCTCTAGCCAATCTATCAAGGCGACGTTTCAGCTTCTTAACCAAGCTGTGCCCAGTGCATCAATCATACCAAAATAGCCTTAAACAGCGCCTGGTCTACACCTGATACATATGAACATCCATATTCAATTCTAGCATGTCTGATCAGATATATTTCGAACATTTGAGCTATATTTCTATGTGCAGCCCTGAGCCTGATGCTTTCTGCTTTCCTCTTATGTAACACCTAGGCAAGTGCTCTTGTTACCATCGAGCCCTCAATTGCATTTATTGCGTTTATTGCAGGGTCACACAAGAACAGTTCCAGTTGTCACGACTAGATGCATTCAAACATATTCAGACTCTGACCTGTCGATTGTGATTCCTCAAATAATTCTTCAAAACCCTTGTGCCAGTCAATGCCACAAGTCGTTGCACGTGTATTTCTTTTGTTGATATTGGCGCCTCTTTGCGCCAAACTTGGGTGCCCGATGGCTATCGTTTTTTGAGAACACAGTCTTGGAATTCACTTTGGGCAATGCGGAGCCAACAAACCAAAATTTACAAAAGCGCTTTGTGAAAAAAGACACCTCGCCAAAGCTTTGCCTAGCGTCCATCGAACAAATAGCTTCCTGTCCAAACCAACATGTCACAGTTATCTCCTCCCACATCCCCAGTTGCTTTGGCAAGTTTGTAAACTCAGTGAACTCTGAAGCAGAGATAAATGTGTTGCAAATTTGGCACGTGCGTCACATGGTCAACGCGTATTGACTTCCACCAGGACGCGGCCTATCCTGTGTACGAGAGCTTCGAGGCGTTTTGTTTGGCTTTGTTGCAAGGCTGGTGGCGGCAGCTTGAACGCAACGTTTGGGGAAAGTGCAGCGGAAGCAAGAAATGAAAGACAATGGAAGATTAGAAATCAGTCAGTGTGGGTCATTTCATTCTTGTCATTCTTGTTTCAAAGATTTCTTGTCACTTGTCTGCTGCTTGCTGCTTGACAAGGTCCAAAATCTGCTTGTGGAGAGTTCATCGAGTGCAAAACTACATGTGTCGAAAGCTGTATCAGGCAAGTACATTCCTGAGAATCCTGAAGTTTCTATGTGTGCAAGCACATATCTTTTTCTGATGATGAAAGTGCTAATCAACTAAAGTATAAGCTTTCAGCAATTCAGTGACTTTGAAACCCGCATCGACATTGCTCTTGGCCCTATATACATTGATGCAAAGTGGCACCTCTGACGTGTGAAGCAAGGTACTGAGGGTACCATGTGCATGCAATGCAATGTGAAATGCAAGACAGTATAATGTACTGCAATGCCTAGCAATCTAAAGTACTGGTAGCATAATGTACTGTATGTAATTGCAAAGGACTGCAATAAAGTGCACTGCAGTGCAGTGTAGTGTACTATCTTGTGATGTTACGCAATGTAATCATGGGACTCCGAACCACGTAAGGGTGACCCCCCAATACGGTAAGGCCGTATCACTGGCTTATTAACAGCCATCAATCCCTAGTATGGGCTTTTGACCCCTAGTGCTGGGGGCACCTTCTTCGGGTACTTGGGAGCCACATGATGTCAGGGATGCAAGGGAATCTCATCAATCTAATCTATGCAATGCACTTGCAGTGTAAACGCAACGCAAGGTAACCTGACCTGACGTCAGGTGATGTGATGTAATGTGATTATTGTCATTCATGACATGTAAAGCGATACAAGACGATGCAATGTAGGCGTAGTGCATTTAATTTAATGCAATGAAATGTATCTACAGATATATATATATATAAGACAACTACTCTCGCAATACACAGCATATATATATATTGTGATCGAACTCCACCATGATTTCCTACCACTTGCAATATTTTCTGGTATAAGGATTTTCTTTGTTGTTTCTTTCGTTTTAGTTTCGTCAGAATTTCGTCAGACTTTTCGTCGGGTGCTTTGTGGCAAAATGTTTTGCCACAGTATTTTTTTGTCAGAATTTTGTCAGAACTTGAATTGAAGCAACGAAATCTTTGACGAAATTTAATCGATTTTTTTTGTGGCAAAATGTTGTGGCAAAACGTTTTGCCACAAAAAAATGTCGAAATTTCGTCCAAAACTTCGTTGAAATTTCGTCAAACTTGAGTTGAAGCAACAAAATCTTTGACAAAATTTCAACGATTTTTTCACGAAGATTTTTGTAGCAAAAGGTGTGGCAAAATAGATTGCCGCAAGAATTGCCACGAAATCTTCAACGAAATCTTTAACGAATTCTCAACGATCGGCTGACAATATACCAGGCCTGTTGCAATTCATGAGCAGTACCATCACAATATTATATATATATAGAATGAACATGAACATACATACGTACATACATACATACCATACCACACCACACCACGGCATAGACAATACATACAAAACTATTGACAAGTACATTACATTACATTACATTAATTACATGAAATAAAAGTACATGACCTTACATTACATGACATTAAGTGACATGACATAACATTACATTATATGAAATTACATGATATGACATTAGATGATACTACATCATTACATACATGACATACATGACATGACACATGATGTACATGATGTACATGATATACATGATATACATGATATATATGATATACATGATATACATGATATAAATGACACACACACACACATTCATGGCATTACAGAAACTACACGACACAACACTACATTACACTACATTGCGTTACCCTACATTACATTTCATTACACTGCACACATGCATACATCCATACATCGTGCATGCATGCACACATGCATGAATTGCATGCATTACCTGCATTACATCAGTTGACTCAAATGCACTACGTACATACAGTACATAGATGTATTAGGTACATACATTACGTACACTGCATTCATTGCATACAGTACATACCGTACATACGGTACAAACAGTGCATCCAGTACATAGAGTACATAGAGTACATAGAGTACATGCAGTACATACAGTGTCCATACAGAACATACAGTGCATCCAGTACATACAGTACATACAGCACATAGAATACAAATGGTACATGAGGCACACACGGTAAGTACAACACATACACTACATCCGGTACATACGGTACATTCTCTGCACGGGTGTGAAGTTGATGACATACCACTTAATTTCACGTACATCGTAGCACACCAAAAGGGTCCAACAAAGAATAAATGTTGCCATTTCCATGCCGATTGATTTTTTTTTCGAGTGGCAAGAAAGTGGGTTAAGGCATCCCCTCTTGGCGGAGATCACGAAAGATTGGCTAAGGTTTTTTTTTGGCCAAGAATGGCCGTTTCAGGATGCATCAGGATGCAAGGATTTGGATCAAAACCCGCGTGCACCAGTATGCGACCCGACCATATGCATTATACAACCATTCCATTCCATTGTTTTCTGTTGCATTACATGACCTACATATGTTATCTATTAATATAAGATAATATAAATAATTATAAATAACAAATAACGACGTAAATACTTTCCTCCTGAAATCATGGTTTCAGATGTCCAGTTCCCTTCTCTGCTTTCGCTGATGAATCGATGGCACGTGAAACAAAACAAGACTCAGCTACAGAACTTGTGGAGTTTGAATCCTGAGCCAGGTTGCTGCTTTTGAAATCCAGCAGGCATGGCGCCTTTTTGAGCAACGGCTCCGTTCAAGGCTCGGCACATCAGTGGCTTCGCCTGTTTTCCCATGACATCGCTCAACTGCCATACTGTCATTTACTCGACATGGATTTGAGGGCTTGAAAATGCTTGAGCTTCAGATCGATGTGTGCCAGACTGAGTCGCGGGAAACGACACTCCTAAATATGAATGGACCAGCATGGTGTATCAATATAGTCCGCATTCTCCAGGAGTTTGGACCAAAGCAGCTGGACGGAGCAAGAGCAGTTGGTACACTATGCAAAGTTGTTGGCAGAGGCGTTGGCTGTTGCTACAGCATGCTACAATCCATATCTACAGCCTGGTTCTGTAAGTCCAGTACACTCAATGCGCACGGCAAGGACTCCCTCCATTTCTTTTTTTCCTCTTACTCGTAAATAACTCTTAATTCTGCGTAACATGACTCTGCATGACTCTGGACTTGGCACTCGATGAATAACGTTGCTTGGCGCTGCGCAGTTTGCACTTCATCCACGGCCGCAGACACCACCACTTGCACCTTCCAAAAGAATCGAGCAGATCCCAACTGAGATCTGAATACTCTGAACTCGGCTTGCTTACCACAACGTAGCATAGCTGGATAAACACATACAGAAAAACAGAGTACCAAAACCTATAAAAGAACTATTTGGGGTTCCATCGGAGCCTGAAGAAAAGGATTGTCATTATGTCTGAACCAGTCTTAAAATGCATAATTTCAAAATAAGGTCGTCAGTGCAAACGTTGGGACAACTGCATATCAGTATCTCCAGTACAAAACTCAGCCCCAGGAGCCATGCATCCTCACACACATCCCATGTTTTTTCCAACTGCCAGAACAGGTCAGGCTTACACGGGGCCCGCTACGCTCTCCCAGCCCATAGAAAGATGGTTTTTCCTCGATCGCCTTGTTGATACTGTGACAAATTCTCTCAGAGGCCCAAATCCAAACATCCCAGAGAATCTCGATCGTCTCACAACCGCTTTTCTCGCAGTGACACCGAGAGCAATGGGTGAGTCCGCCCCTCTTCCTAGCAGCTACTAGCATAACTAGGCTAGACATTCTAGATGTTGAGCCCAGTATGCCCTGGCCATGTGACTGCTTTGCCCCCAGAGTCTAGCTCTTCAAAAACATTTCAAGAAAAATTACCCAGAAAAGGAACCCCAGGCTGGATCATGGGGTAAAGTGTCAACTGCACTCTTGTTGTGGACGACTTCATCAACATAGCATATTTTGTTTGTTTCGTTGTTCTGTACAAAAGGGTTTTGGAGGTGTGGCACGCTGCACCTTCCTAGCTTAAGAACACTCACGTATCCTCTGGACTCATGGGGTCCTGAACGAATGCTCAAACAATATTTATTTTTTACATCTCGTCTTGTTTAGTCAAGTCCAGTTCCTGCTCTTTTTCCGATTTCAGCCGATAGGCTGCGCGCAAGATTCAACGTAGCTGGCGGGGCCAGAGAGACAAGAGTGTCTTCATGACCCTCCGTGATACGATCGCCATGCAACATGGCTTGGTTCTGGTTCACGTTTTTCTTGGGGATAGCTGCCTCAAAGATGTGGCTCAAATCCAGTGTGAGACTGGGTGAAACTCAAAACCTGAAAAAAATCATTGTCATTTCTTATTTAAGGCTGTAAGCAATGAAGATTCCCATGTTGTTGAGACTGAAACAGGAATGATTCTAGCTGAGTGGGCTCATTTCCATTTTCCTTTCTTAAAATGTTCATGACTTGACAATTCGCCTGGAAAAAGACGGCAGACTGAAATACCTGAAAAACAATTGTAAAGCAATGATCAGAAGCTACATCCTGGCACTTCTGCTTGTCAGGTTTCGACGCTCAGGAGATCCTCACCTACTTCTTCGAGCTGTGTTGCCTCGTGAGTCCTGTCTGCTGGACCCTGCGATGCAGGTGCATGTGCGCTTCCGCTTAGGTGGGCCCAGGTGCGCAGTCCAAGATGCAGACGAAGGACAGGTGAAGCACAGACAGGAAAGACACAGGCTACGAAGCTACTAGAAAAAGACAGTGCCTCTACAGACCAGAGAACTATATAACGCAGAAAGAAATCGAAGGGACGCAGACTGAAAGTCTTTGAGAGCAGGAGAGGCCAAGACCACTTACGCCCTACATGCTCAGATTACATGTTGAGACCCTTTTCATACATTTTGCCGGAGAGGGTAGGGATGGACAAGCTTCGTTCCGAATTGTCAGCCCACGTCATGGAGTACTTTGTTGTGGAAGTGCACGTCGTGTCACAACATGCCAGTGAACATTATTTGTATTATATATCTATATATGAAGACATACACACAAAATATTTATAATCAATATAGATATCATTTAATCATAAATATTTATAATTTAGATATCATTTTATCATATCATTGTGAACACTGTTCCGGTTGTTCTGCGGCCCTGAGCAGATTTCCACCAACGATCTTCTACAAGATCTACACCCACGGCAATGTGGTTGATCTTGGCTCTTTTGCCCCAAGGGAGTACTATCTGGAGCGCTTGAGTCAAGAACAGGGTAACATTTTACCAGGCTCGACAGTCAACTTACTCTTCACAGCTCTTCACTGCTCTTCACTGCTCTTCACTGCTCTTCACAGCCCTTCACCCGTGTGAGTCAACTTCACAGTTCGACGCCATCCTCTGAAAGATGAAAGAAAAACAATTCAAGACATATGTGAGACATCAGAATGTGAGAATGATTTAGAAGGTGTGTGAAGAGGCAAGGGTGATCATGTGTCCTGTAAGTGCACTCCTTTGGACAGCAACCATGATTTACATATATTCACAGTCTGTACTGTACAGCCTGCTTTCAGGTGATTTGGGCTGGTATACGCGAGTTGAGAACAACGGTTGGCGGCCACTGGCAGTGCGCTTTGCCTCAGAAGGCTTGGTGGACAAGGCGAGTAAGTGGGAAGAGGAACGAAGTGCAAATGCACGCAGCAAATGTGCGAATCAAATAAACAAGCACCTGCAAAGTTTGTTTTTTCTTTGATAACTGACTGCAATGATTGCAATGCATTTGCTGCACCCTCTGTTGCACCTTGTGTTTCGCTCCACTTTGTACCAAATGTATCCAAATGTATCCAAATGTATCCAAGTGTTCTATGTCTTCTATGTCTTCTATGTGTTCTGTGCTGAAGGAGGTGGAGAAGTTCACCGCCCGACGCCCTCAAAACTTCCACTACTCCAAGCTGAGGCGGCGCCAGGACGAGATGAGAAATCTGAAAACTGATCAAAAGAACAAAATGAAGGAGATGAAGAAAGAAATAGAAAGAACATGAAAGAACCAGATTCGAACAAATCAAGAACGGACATGTCTTCGGATGTTTTTGTGCAGATACTGTTAGACACTTTGGATGTCTTTGGCTTGCGAACCGAGCGACTTTGTTCTCACGCATTTAGTGATTTTAGTGCAAGAGTAGCAAAGTACTAAATTGCGACCTCAAAGAATAGTCCTCTCCAAGTCAGCATGGAAAAAAAACCAGCCTTACTCAAAGCATGTTAGACCAACACACTCTCAACTTAGTGTTGCTTGAACAGTACGCATAACACCTGCAAAAATACCAAAAATACATGGATCATGCAGCTTTCGTCCCTGCCAGACAATCTTGACATGTCAAGAGTGTTCTGCAAACCTTCATACGAATCCTGGGCTCCTTTGCACCTCCGTTTGTTTAGAAAGGTTTCGGAGCTGTGATTCAAAGCCTCCAGGCCACGGCATTGGTCTTTTAGCCTAGCTCCTTTACACGTTGCACCTGGCACTTCCACCCTAGGGATAGAGGATTTCGCTTCGTCTCTGAACATGTGCCTATGTCTTCTGCGAGGGGTGTGCCGAAAAAAAGGCAGTGCATACTGCGATCCAAACTAGATTTGCACATCAGCGTTATCGTGTTCAGCATGGTCCTTTCAGTTTTCAACTTGATTCGCCATACAATGTGGAAGCAGGGTCTCCAGTATTTTTTGCTGCTGAACATTGACAGAAGCTCATCGAGTCAACAACTGCAAGCCAGCAGCTACTTTGCCGCTCAAAGCTGCAAGCTTGAGGAAACAAAACGGAGCTAGATCCATTTCTTAGATGGGCTGTGCACCTTTGCGAAGACCAGATGTGAGGTTATTGGGTAAAACTACTTTTTGTTCGACCAATAGACTGTAGCTGACTGAAGAACAGGTCGACCATGCTAAAATTGGATGGTTTTAGACAACTCTTGACTCTTGACCGAAGATTAAGAACATTTTGACTTGACCAGTTCTCGAGGTTGTAGTGGCCATCGTTCATACCCTATTCATGCACAGACAGGCAAATGTTTGTGTGACTGTGATGTTTGACTTCACTCGTCTGAATAGTATAATAGACTGGGTTTCTTCCTTATGCTACCTGTTATTGAACGGTCATCCATGTCTACAGTATTTTTTTGCATCTTGTATTTCTTCTCGACTTACAGTCTGAAGCACGGAGGTGTCCAGGCATTAAAAGGACTTGCCATTCCATTGCTATTAATGCGATTAATATATATATACACTAGTAACTCGTATAATCTTTTTGTTTCTGTCTGGAAATGTTGCTGGTAATCCTTTTCCTGCCTTGGCAGCGAAAAACAGATGCTTCTCTGATGGGGGCTATCAATCCAAGCAAGTTGCCATGAATGAAACAACTACTCCATGTGTGGCCACAAGGAGCAAGAAATCAAACGTCGTCGGCGAAAGATTGAATGGTTCCAGAAGCTCTATGGCATGAGCGAGTCAATGTCACCTCAGGCAGACTCGTCTGAGTTGTGCCGAGCGTAAGCCAAAGAAGCAGAGACGACATGAACAGAAGTCGTTTAGGGTGCTAAGAGTTCTTGGGTGAAGAACAGCACCGAATTTGAACGGAAATAATCCTAGCCCATTTAGAAATATTTGGAAGCCCCTCAAGTCACTTCTCAAGTTTGAGATTACCATTCTGCCTGGTCGAATAAGTTGTCGAATCGAGAGACTTGTACTTTCAATCATGTTGAAATTACACTGCAAATCTCGGGCTTTCGTTATCTTGATTCTATTTAAGTTAGGACGGGATCCAAATTCATACCAAACCACTTTTTTGTGCTTTGTGTATCTGTGTAACGAAATCCTGAAGGACATTCCATTGGACGTTTTACCGGAAACGGCCTTTGGACAAGATGAATTCTCTCCAAGGCAGGTTCAACCGGTTCAACCTTGCACAGCCACAGTAACTTTGTTTGAACCGTCAAATGTCTGTGAAACCTTTGTGATTTTCAGATTCTCACTTGCATCACTTGCTTGTATCTAGACTTCATGTCGTTCTTGTGGCACAGTCCAATTTACAGAAGTGACACATTTGATGCACGTATGCACATACGCCTCGGCAATTGGCAGGGATATAGGAGACCTGGATGAGGATGATATGCTGTTGGATTGGAGCAGGCACGTCCTAGCCGTTTTAGCTCAGTTGCCCCATCCAGTTCATGCTTTTAACAAAACAACAGAAGCAGAGCGTTTCCGTCCTTGGATGGGTTTGCATGTTTTGGCCTACAATTTGCTGTTTTTGGTGGTATATGGTGGTAGAATCCTGCAAGGAAACATGTTTTCAATAGTGTGCATACATGTCTCAATAGTGTGCAGGAAAGTGGACTTCGATGCATACATGGAGTCTTGGCGGGCTATAGCAACGACTGATGGCAGTGAGGGAAGCCTTCCGATTACCATGCGGTTGTCTCCTGTGGCTTTCGAAGTTCCTGCTTGAGATTTACACACAAAAACAGCTGCAAGGGCTGTGAGAGCTGCAAGAGAACTGAACTTGCAGCTCGTCAAAGGACATCCAAAGGATGTCCCAAGGATATCCAAAGTTGAAAGTATAGTCAAGGTATATGGAGCTCAAAAATAGGCTTCAGACCTTGAGAACTTTCGTTGGACTTCCAAAAGTATCTGTTTACGCATGCAGAGATGGGGACACACTTTACCGTATCATGACTAGCGAAAGCATGCTTCTACACAAAAGGATACAAAAGGCAAGCGCAGTATATATATATATATATACATAATATATATATACACATTATATATATATATACACATACTATATATATATATGTATATATATATAGAAATAATATTACATATATAGATACATAGCACTTACATAGCAACTGCTACAAACATGTTTGGCACAAAGCACTGCAAGAGAGCAATGCAAAGTGAATCCCTCTCAAAAAGAGCTCTTCATGCAGTGTGTACAAAGCGTCGACCAGAAAGCTAGAAAAGCTTCGATGGCAAAAGCACAGCAAAGGGCGATGGGTCTGACGGCTTTGACAGTTTCAATGGGTTTAGGAAATGTCTGATAACTCCCTCTTGACATTGTGCAGCAAATAAATCTTGATAGTTGAGGCATCCTGCCAGAACGAGAACACAACAAAACTGCACATTTGTTGCAGCAGTCGCTGCCACGGCAGGTGCCAGTTGCACGAGAAGGTCACTCCTTGACGCTTCTGGACAAGTCAGGGCCGCGGATGGCCACAGCAGAAATCGTCACTGCTCTGTTTCTAAACTCATTCTGAACTGATTCTATCAGATTCTATCCTTTTGGTTATTTTGGTTCTTTCAAAATGACACTAGGAGTCACTAGTAATGATTTGGAGCAACAGGAACATGTCAAATGTATTAGTCTGGCACATCGTTGGCACTTAGGCAGCTGTTCTTGTTTGGTGGCTACACTGCTACTGGTGCCGAAGTCAATGACCTACACACGTGCCCGCCCTATGAGCCTGTGATTCTTGTTAGATATGAAATCATTCTGAGTTTTTTTTCCCCGAGCAGGGCACTTCTTTCAAGCTTTCCTACCCTTGCGATTTGTTCTTGCAGACAAACTCACGATATACCGTGTTCAGCGCTTTTGATGCATGTATCATTTAGCCTTAAGATCAAGAGAAGTCAGAAAAGAGCAAAGATGTTTGACAATGCGTACCCCGATGCTCAAGTTCGAATGGATTCATTTGAGACAGATTGTTGTAGGTACAACATCTCCGAGCAAAGTTGGAAAGAGCTCTCTGTTTCTGGCACCAGCCCGAGCCCACGACAGGCTAGTTCAAGAAGGGAACACTCTTGATTCCCCATGACGCCAAAAGATGATATGACAGTTCTCTATAAACTGTAAGTAAAGGTACATTAATTCTGTGGCTCAGCTGTTCTTTGCTGAGCTAGGTATGAGGATATGTGCACTATAAATCTTTCATATTAAAGCTATGTGATAGGCATGCGGATATGGACTTACACGCATATACAGGCGGAGATACATATTTGTACATGCGAGCATGATCGAGTCTTGTATGTGGTTACAAGTCATATAATGTACCATGCATTGCTGTTGAATAAGACTATACTATACCCATATGCATCTCTCCCTGGAGTGTAGTCAGAACTTCAGTCTTGCAGGCGCACAGTGCTGTGCGCCATGGACACCAGCTGGTGGTTGCCGGAGGTTGTGGTGGCAGTGCCTGGTGCTTACAGAATTCTTTAATTCCTGAACAGGAACTGGTCGAACTTACAGTACCATCTAGTTTGGAGAAGTCAGGACATGCAAGGCTTGGCTTTTGACCTTTTTCAACATTTTTCGAGCTCATCTCGAGCTGCGGAATTCTTTATCGGAAAATCCTGAACAGGGAAAACCGTAAGCCGTAGGCAAGCACACGTCAGCTGAGAGTGAATGTTGCGGATACAGTGTGTGTGTATATATATATATTATATACACGTATCTTTTGTGTTCTTTTGTTCTTCTTTGTGATCAGTTTTTGTGGCCTGAAAGCCATATGCCGTGAGGTTTGCTTCAGTGATGTGTGGAGCCTTGATCCGCTCAATCTTCGTTGGACCCAGAAGTTTGGACCTCGGGACGGCATTCGCCTTCTCGGCATTCGCCTTTTCGGCCTCCTTGGCAGCCCTTCAATAAAATTTAAGCTTGTTTCGGGCAACGTCGACATGATCTCTTCCAAGCCCTGGGCAAACGGCAACGGACCATGCTTTTGTTGCACTGTTTGCGGCATACTGAGGAAGTAATTAGTTGCATTGTAGTTATTGTAGGTGCATTGGATTCTCAATTCTGCAAGAACACAACAAATGAATCATCAGTATGACTCAGTATGATATCAATGAAGACACAAGGCCCTTGATCGTCCTTCAAACATCCTACCCGGTCCTACCCGGTCATTGCAGCCATTGTAATGCAAGCAGTTGCTGCAAGCAAGGTCTTCTGACCCAAGACCTTGGAAGGAGAGACAAGGCACACTGCAAGTCACGAGAGTTGCTTCATGAAGACACTTGCGAGGTCACATCAGAGAAATACAGTGAATTCAATATATGCTGGAGCCGAAATGGTGGGGCTGGGCAGGGCCCAGATGCTTTGTTTGGTCTTGGAGAATTTGCCATGTCATTGTGATGAGATGACAACAAATTTCAAATCGGTCAGCTTATGATCCAGAAAAGCCTCTTGGTGCTGGCAGAAGTGTCTGGATTGACTCTCATACTTGTACAAACTCTGGACAAAGGTGTCTGCATAAACAGCAATCGCAGGACCGCCAGGATATCCAATAACTGAAAACTTTCAGCGGAAGCTCCACGGAAGCTTACGCGGAAGGATCGAATGATGTTCATCAAGGCCCTGTTGAGGAGTTGCAGTGTCATTGCTTTATATTGCTTTCACGCAGGCCACAGTGCCGCCTTTGTTGGTGGCCGGATGTTTATGTTTGGAGGTTGCCAGGCAGGGCTTTGGTTCGAGCCGACAAGAAACCGTGCCACTTCCAGAGTGGCCATGGTGGCCGAGATTCAAGACCGGACAGACATGTTTCGAAGCCTGCTTTGCAAATTTTGCAAGAAAGCCCAAAAAGCATGAGAAGGATTTCCCTCGCAGCGTATTGGTCATATTGGATAGATTCATAGAGTCTCTTTGTGTCTCTATTGGCCGACCAGGTAAGTGCTGACTGCTTCAATGATGTCTCTGTGCTTGACACTATGGAGCCGTGCCCAGAAGAGCAACATTCCCAGAATCAGACTTTCCAAAGTCAGAGGTCGTTCCTTTGATTCATTATATCAATATATATATATACATATATTCATTTGCACTTGCATCGCTTTGGATTTTCACATTTTTCACTTTGGTCTCCAAGTCAGGTGTGGAAGTCATGGAACTTGTGTGGATGGCCGGTACTGCCAGTGCACTGCGCAATAACCTCAGCTCGGCCTGAAGTCTGCGTTTGCAGATGGTTATAGTAGTTACATCTAGTTTACCGTGGACATCCGTGGACATCCGTGGACCATTTCCACTCTCATTACTCTCATTGCCTTTTGAACATTTTTGAAGAGCGTTTTTTTGATAACATATATATACACAACTTTTCACATCCGTTGACTATCTAGGCTGAAAGTGTTTCCTTGTTAAATCGCAGCAAAGTTTCTTCCACAAATTTGGCAGTGCTGAAGCCAAGGCCGGGCTTCACTGGCCACGATTGCCTCCAGCCTTTGACATGCCATTCGGACAGTCTCCGGAAAGCTGGCACTTTGTGATTGGTTTTGATATGATTAATATGATAGTATGGTCCTGTGTTCCGACCCCCTTCTTCCAGAAACAGATAATGATATCATGATACAGTCCATGACAAATGATGATACTCCTTATGGTGCACGTAGCAGCAGATCAAAGCGCTTTGTGCCCTTCCTATTCTTCGTCAGGTCTCACCAATTTTGAACAGTCATACTTTTGCAAGAAGAACTCTCTGGGTTGCAGTGGTGCATTGGGATTTGACCAAAGCAAACATGAGGAAATAACAAAGTTAGCTCCAAATGGGAGAGTCTTGTATTCAACAAGGAAATAACAAAGTCATCTGAAAAGCATTGCAGGATTGTGGCCTGCATGGATTGTGTGCCCAAGATGGTCAATGTGCATGCAGTGAGGTGCTGAGCATTTCAACAGTATCGAACTGCAAACTCTTTAATTGTTGCAACATGCTCAACAATAATGACTGTGGATGGTTGTGGTGTGTTGTGGTCATGGAAAGTCTTTCTTTCAGAATTTTCTTGGAGGCTATCAACAACACAGTTGTCACGTCTTGATGTTTCTGAGAGCAAAATGCTCAGATTATGCTACCGAGGTGGCGGGTGGAGCGGCAAAAATTGCCAAGAGCCGCCCCGATGTCCAGGGGCGACGCTTCCATGCAGTGGTCGGGGAGAGTGTCTTTCTGGTGGCACATGCAGGCTGGGTATGCCATGCAGAGGGAGTTTGCAAAGGAACCCACGCAGCGATGCAGTTCTTTGAGTATTTCCTCAAACAGTGAGTCCACACTAAGGGGTTCTTACCGCAGGTGTTAGTCGAATGGTACATGCCCTTGTGACCTCCTGTCAGGTATCAACTTCTCGCCGCCCTTTGTCACTCAAGGACATGTCTTGACAATCGCCTTTTAGGCAGATCGTTCCGATCAACCAGTGCCAATTCAATTGCCATGGAACCCTCCGCGAACTTCCGACGATGCAGTGCTGAGCAAAAGGGAAGACAAGCTGCTTTGGACAGACAGGTGTTTGTTAGGAGGGACAGATGTGGCATGTGTTTCAACTTGGTAGCGGAGCTATGGCTCCTGCTCCTGCTATCAGTTGTTGCACTTGTCACATTTGTCGTGGTGTTCGCTCCAACTAGTGTTGAGACAGCCATCAAGGATGCGGTCAACAGTGGACGTGATGAGATGTGTGTGCAGTTTCCGATGTTGTGCCGCAGGACCACTTTTAGCACTACTCTGGCAATCTCAACAGCGAACAGTTTTGGGGCGGATAACAGTCAGTTTGGGGAACAATCGACCATGTCTACAGCCATTCTGGCAACCACGACAACTAGTGGTGTGACAAGCGTGCCCAACAACGATGGATCCATTGCAACGAGTTTCAACATGGATGGTTTGGTAACTGATCATCCTGTTTTGACCACTATCAGAACCATGCTGGCAACATCGACAGACAAGGCAGAAGAGCGACGCATGGTGGAGCTCTTGAGACGAGCTATGAAGAGGTCGCATGAAGAGGTTGAGACCGCAATGGAGCGCCTGGAGCAGATGAGTTTGTCCTTACAACAGGACATGGGACCAGCCGAGATGATCAAGCATTTGCGTGACATTGGACTTTTGGATGGTTCAGACAATGATGATGATGCATCACTGTTTGAGGTGAACGCAAGTGCTCTGGTCAGACCCAATGCAACTCCGATGATGCATGATCCCTGGTGGTACGAGGACATTGATGCTGAACGTGACGACGACGACAGCTGGACAACTGGTGGAAGGTTGGCTGAACATGTCAGCCGAAGTGCAATGAATCTGACTGGTGTGAATGACTCGCAATCAGTGCATGTGAACAACAGCCGCATGTATGCAGACCCCAGCCAACTGTTTTCAATGCATGATCCATTCAGACGTTTGTCCAACAAGCTTTCAGTGTCAAGTTGGTCAGTCAAACACCGACTCCATGTGATCTATGTTTTTCTGGGAACATGTTTGATTCTGGCCTCAGTTGGGATGATGCACGCAGGGAACCGACAACATCAAGGACAAGGACATCATGGTCCGCGCATGGGACCTAACTACACTGCTGATGTGGGGACCGCAACATTGAAGACCCCGCCGAGTTGGTCTTATGAAAACAGCCATCAGTATTCCTTAAGAAGCTGGTTGAGTGATGTCGTTCTATGGAGCAATGCTACCGATCTGGAGCCAGACAGGCATGCGCCTGCTGTTGCTCTGGTTGTGACAGGTGCTGCAAGAGACCTCATACGTGAGTTGCAGCCGCAACAGCTTCGAGAAGGTGTGTGGGAACAAGGGGTACACGTTTCTGGACTCCTTTTACTGTGCAGAACTCTCGCACGGCATTATGCGCCGATGGAAACTGAGCTGCAAACCCGCAGCATGGCTGAGCTGGTAGGTTTCTCAAGACTCAATGGAGAAAACATGGATGCAGCACTCACTAGGTTTGAAGTCCTCAAACACAGAGCAATTCAGAGGGGTGGTTTCGCCATGAATGCAGCCACGATGTCATACATCCTTTTGAATGGTTTGAGACTTCGTCCAGAGCAGTGGGATCGAATGTTGCTTCCACTTGACGGTGAAATGCCAGTCAATGACCAGCAGTTTCAACAGTTGTTTGAGAGGTTGAGACGAGTAGGTAGAATGAATGAGGGTGCCTTCATGCCTCCAAACCGCCAAGGTGCAACAGGTGAAGTAGGTGCTTTTTACTTTCCGTCATTTGGTGAACCGGCGCCCCCAATGGCCCCTGGTTACCAGACCTACTATGGTGGACCGCCGAGCATGAATGCCGATGCACAAGCACCCATGTCGCCTCCTGATGTCCCGATGTCCAATGGTGTCAACATGTCAGCCAGTTTTGCCGTCATGTCTGAAGATGAGGACCAATGCCCACGATGTGGAATGTTTTATGCAGATGATGAATTTTCTTCAGGAACTGAAACTGATGATGGTGAGACAGACAATGAAGTGACAACACTGTATGGCAATCTCAGTGAAGATTCAGCAAAACTTGGAAATGAATTGTACGAAGCCTACTTGGTAGCTAAACGAAGATGGAGACGGTTTTCCAACAAACCGCCACGTAGGTATCGCCGAAATCATTTCAACAAGTTCAGACACAAATCCAACATGCAAAAGATGCAACGGTATGGAACAAGCTATGCATCTTTCTTGCCACCTGGTGCTTTTGCTGCGCACCGAGGACCTGGAGGAAAAGCTTCTGGCAAGGGCCGCAATGGTCGACAGAATCCGCGTGGCCGTGACGGTCAGCCGCTGAAGTGTTTCAAATGTGGCTCCACTGAGCATCTTGCCAAAAGATGTTCAAAGCCTGACAGCCAAGGTCAACAGCAGATGGCCATGTTGACAGGTATAGGTGGTTCGAACCTTCAGTTTTTTGCCAGAGGTGTCAGTCATCAGTCCGATACCGCAAGCCGTCCGTCATCCGATGTTGGTGCCTCCCATGTGTTCACAACCATGCGCATGCAAACAGGTGAGTTGGTCTCCCGAACTTTTGAAGCCGAATCAATTCATTCCAGTGCCCCATCATCCAAGCGTAGTTTCTTTGATGATTTGGAATCTCTGAGGAGTGCCAGTAGCAACAACAAGCGTAGGGTTGACACAGCTGTTGAAGATAAGAGGGATGAATATGCAGATAACCCTGAGCCGCGTTTTCCACCACCAACTGAGCCGGCTCCAACAGCACAGCAGTTGCAGATGAAAGCAGCCGTTGTTGTGAATCAACCCGTAGCTGAATGGACATCTTTCATGGTTGGCAGTTTATCAAGTAGCAGTTCTGCCCCAGCACAGCCCAGGATGTCGTCCACCGAAGCCTTGTTGTCTGGTCTTGAGTCTTCCAGGTCATCTCCAAGTCAAGCCATCACAGCCGATGATGCACAGGATGCTGAGTCTCCGAGCCGCCCAACACGACCAACCAAGCAGAAGCAGAAAGAAATCAGATCAGCAACCACTTTGCAGTTGTCGCAGCTTTTGTCGAACATGCCTGGTTCACAACCTGATCCGGAAAGTAGCAGTGCATTCCCGTGGTGGGAGATGGTCCGAGAAGATAATCCCAATATAAATCAAGGACGTCCCACATACCACTCAATGAGAACGTGCACTCCAGACGGTAGATCAGGCCTATTAGTCGACCCCGGCGCTCACGATAATCTTGCAGGTTCTGAGACAATCGAAGCCATCGAGCAACAGCTCAGAACGCATGCCCGCAAGAAGCTGCTGGATGAACCACTTCATGTCAGTGGGGTAGGCAAGAGCGCCCAGTGTGCCACAACTGCAGTGTCCGTCGATTTCGATTTAGGAATGTTGGTTGATGGTCATGACAGTGCGCCAGAGTTGGGTTGCACATACACCGCTCCTGTGATTCCCAACAGCCAGCTGCCGATGTTGCTTGGACTGAAATCTCTTCGTGCCAAGCGTGCCATCCTGGATACGCATGGAAGACTCCTGATCTTGCCGGGTGAAGGAGGTGTCAAGTTCAGAGTGAGCCCAGGTACTTTGGTTTTGCAGTTGGAAGACAGTGAATCAGGTCATCTCATTCTGCCAATGAGACCGCCGATGGACCCTGTGGACTACAGGACTGTTCGCAGTGACCGCAGGACGATGGAAGAACACAAGTTGAATTTCAACACTCACTGTCGTGCAGCCAGAACGCCATCGCCAACACGCACTCCTGTTCATGCAACCAGAGGTCCATATCAAAAGGATGGTTGTCGCATCCTCACAGGTGTCCAAGAGCCAAGTCAGCCCATCAATTCTCAGCAGACACGACGTTTGTCCGATGTGCATGGTGTCAGGTCGTCTGAGGCCTCCAGGACACCGAGAACAGGAAGAAATTCTGCACCGCCTGAGCCACCAAGAGCAGGACGAAATGCTGCACCGCCCGAGCCTTCTGGACCACCACCTGTCAGGGCAGAGCCGAATCCCTGACTGCAAAACACTGCCGATGTCGTTGCATGTGTGGCTCAAGCACAAAACCCCAAAACACAAATAAACAGCTTGAAGCCACTTAGGACTGGAATTAACCAAGCAGTGCATGTGAGTGTCAATGCGCAGAATGTGAAGTCAGGTTCTGATGTGGACTTGGCTGAGTATGGTGCATGGGTCATCTCTGATGTGTCAGGCCTCCGACAACGTTTGCTGCAAGTGCAACAGCTAGGTCCAGTTGTTGCAGTTTTCCATGATTTGCACTCCAAAGGTAAGTTTAATCAACTGTCAGAACAGCTTGCAGCCAGTAAGCCTCGTTTGTTGTGGGTTCGCCTATCCGGACCTTCCTGCGGAAGTGGGAATAAAAGAGATGAAAACCGAGCCGCTTTCCTTGTCAGATTAGTTTTGCAACAGATGGCCAGTCACCGCATGGTCATTGTTGAAGGTAACTTAAGGTCTGGCGGATGGAACTTGAGACCGTTCCGTGAACTTAGAGAGCTCGGTATGCATGAAACTTTGCATGTGTGGTGCAGGTATCAACCCGTAGAAGAAAGTGCCTGCAGTGCAACCACTAGAATTTGGTCTAATGCAGAACTGACATCTTGTGCGGAATGTCAGTGCCGGACTGGTAGGAAACATGTCAGCGTGAAGTCGCTGCCTAATGCATCCGATGTGGAAGCTGTTGTTCTCACCCATATCATAAGAGATGTCGCTCAACATATCAACAACGCATTCGACAAGCAACCTGAGTCGAAGCCTTTAACTAATGAAGATGGTGTCAACCCGACACGCATCAGTGCCCTGCTTTCAGGTTTGCCAGTTTCAACAACTGAGTCATCCAAAGATGTTAGAACCTCCAATAGTGCAGTAACCCATAATAATCTATTACAGATAAAACCTTATCCACTTCGACAGTTGAATCCTCTAACCCAAATTCTACAACATTTAGAACCTCTGTTAGAGCCACTGCCAATCAATCCAATGTGCCGCAGTCCAATGTGAATCCAAACATGTCCAACATGCCCACTTCATCCAGAAGTGTGTCATTCCAAGGTGCCGATGAACCGTCATCCTCAGATGCTGTTTTGTCCTATCCCACTGAACAGGCAACACGCCAGAAGGAGCGAAAGAAGGCAGGGATAGAGGTTAAGAAACGAAAACAGCATGTTGAACAACACTTTGACGATGTAGGTGATGATTTGTCCAGTCTTCAAGTCGAACAGCATGAAGTAGAACACTTCACCCGTAAGTTGCAGCAAGAACATAACTTGGCATCATGGGAACATGCAGTGTTTGCTTTCGCCTTCCAATCCTGCGATGATCCAGATGCAATTCCAAATGCTGACAACTTGCCTGACATGTCTCGACGGATAGAAGCTTTCTTGACTGATAATCCAAAGCACATCCATGTGTGCGAGCTGTTCGGAGGAGAAGGACTGACATCAACTCTTTGTTCCAAACTTTATGGTTTGAATAGCGGTTTCAACTTTGAACTTAAGAATGGTGTTGACCTCAATACAGATGTTGGCCGTCAAGATTTGTTTGCATATCTTAACAAGTTCAAGCCAGATGTTGTTGTGATGGCGCCTCCATGTAAAGGGTTTGGACCATGGATTCACCTCAACAGAATAATCAATGCCGAAGCAGTGAGGGCCGCTCGACGTGACGGTGTACCACTTGCAACTCTTTGTGCCGAAGTTGCTGAATTCCAGTTAAGTTGTGGTAATCACTTTATAATTGAGCAGCCCCGTACAAGCCTGATGTTTCAACTTCCATCCTGGAAGGAACTTGCAAAGATCGCTCATGTAGCTGTTTGCGACCAATGTAGGTTTGGCCTGAAGAACCCTGATGGAACACATCTTAAGAAGCCAATAAAATTCATTGCCTCAAGTCCAATCCTTCTTGCACATGTTGCCAATAGATTTTGCCTTGATAACCATGAACATGGAAAGGTCAAATCAAGTGCCGAAAACTGGCCTATCAGTTTGTGCCGAAGCCTTGCCAGAGGCATTGCCGATTTGTTGTGTAGTTCTTTTGACAGCAGCCAAGCCACTTTGCAATTTCCAACTTTCACTTGCCCAGGCTGCAGAGGTCATGTTCGCAGGGACGATACTAGACACACACGCGACGAGAACTGTCGCTTCAAAGATGAGCCTGCGATGGAATGGACTTGTGATGGATGTCGCCGCAATAGACATCGATCCGATCCATCTCACACACTTGGCCCAGACTGCAGATGGGCAATTGCCAGAACTAGAGATGATGGTGGTCCTCGAGCCCGAAGAGGACGCCACCCAAGAGATGGCAGTGCTCCAGCTGCCAGAGATCCAACAGCTGCAGTTCGATTGCGTGAAGAAGCAGCTCCAGCCGAAGGAGCAGTAGGACATGATAGCATAGAACCTGAAGTTTT